TCTGAAGAACAAAGAAAGAATATTAAAAGTGGCAATGGAAATGGCCAGGAAACTCACAAAGGCTTTCTTAGAAAGCCAGAATTACACCTCAACAGAGGTGTCTCAACAGAGACTCCAAAGGCTAGAAGGGCCTGGTCAGATACCTCGCAACCTCTAAGAAGTCACAGGTACCACGCCAGAATACTGTATGTAGCAAACTCTCAATCACCATAAATGGAGAAAACAATATATTTCAAGACAAATCCAAACTCAAACAATATCTATACACAAATCCACCCTACAGAAAATGGTAGAATGGAAACTCCAACATAATAAAGATAACTACATTTAAGAAAACACAGGAAATATGTAATTGTATACCATGAAAAAGAAGGAAAGCATATATATAAACACAAACACACATGTACACACTCACAACCCCCCCACCATCAAAATAACATAAAGTAACAATCACTGGTCATTAATATCTCTCAACATCGATGAATTCTATTCCCTCAACAAAAGGTCCAGGCTAACAAAATGGATTAAAAAACAGGATCCATCAACCTGCTTCATACAGTAAAGAGATACATTACCACAGAGAAAGCCCTGGAAAAAGTTTTGCAAGAAAATTGACCCAAAAAGGAAGCTTGGGTAACCTATTAATTAATAGATTAGTATCTATAAGAAGTAAATTAGATACTTACTTTAATATCTAATATAATAGACTTTTAACCAAAATTAATCAAAAGAGGCAAAGAAGGACAATTCATACTCATCAAAGGAAAAATACTACTAAGGTGATATCTCAATTCTGAACATCTCTGCCCCAAACACAAGAGTACCCACATAGGTCAAAGAAATACCGTTTAAATAGTAAGTCAGACCCCATATGTTAATAGTGGAAGACTTCAACACCCAACGCTCACAACTGACAGAACATCCAGGAAAAAAAACAAACAGAAATAATGAAACTAAGAGAAATTATGAATCAAATATACCTAACAGATATCTATAGAATATTTCTCCCTAAACACAAAAGAATATAACTTCTCAGCACCTCATGAATGGTCCTACAAAATTGAACATATAGTCAGTCAGAGAGCAAGCCTCAACAGATATAAGATAATTGAAGTAATGTTTTTTTATCAGACCATCATGGATTAAAGCTGGACTTAAACAACAGAAACAGCAGGAAGCCTACATATTCCTGGAGATTGAACAATTCTATACTCAATGATCTCTGTGTCAGGGAAGAAATAAAGAAACAAAAGAGTTTCTAGAATTCAGTTAACATGAAGACATAATATATCCAATTTTATGAGACACAGAACAGCTTGGCTTGGCCTCAAGGGCACTACGAAGATTCTCTCTTTCCCTTTTAATATTAGCATTTATTTTTATCATTAGGAAATATTGGACTATTCATGGTTAAAGTCAACGACAGGGGCATATTACGGGACTTTCCATTGGAAAAATAGAATTATGTTCTCTTTTGCTTAGTTTCCAATATAAACTCTCAAACAAATATATTTCCATAATATTCAACCAATGCTTAGACTAATATTATCTAGTCCTTCAGTATTCAGATAATTTAATAATTACTAGATTATCCACTTCTTTTTAAAATAGTTCATGCTGTACCTACTGGTAAGTATAAAACATGTCTGAGGACATGTTTGGAAATGTAGTGTCCTATGTGTACCATTGTGATTGTAGAGAAATTTTAATCCAGAAAAATGGCTGCTCTGGCAAGGACTCACATCCAAAGACCTTCTAGATCTGTGTAATCCATCTGGTATGCTACACCTTTAGCATCTTGCTGTAATACAGTCAGGATCTTAATATACAACATTGGTCTCTTGCAAAGTACTTAAAGTTAGTTTGTAGAAGAAAGCTGTCATGTTTGAAAGTGAACTCTAATTGATGGGCAGAGGATGTGGTAAATAGAGAAAGATTTGGAGGAATGAGTCAGAGATAAGATACACACAATTCTCATGAGAACAGACTGGAATGATAGGCTACTTAAGAGCAGAGAATTGTGAATCAGTAGTTGGAGGGCTGTAGTGGGAAATATTAAAAAGTAATCCATGCTACCACCAGCAAAGCAACTGCAGACAGGCCAGCCTGTTCTCAGAGCTCTGAAATCTCTCTTTCCACCCAACTCAATATGTTTCCAAAGCAGGAAGTTGCCACACCAGCCCCACACTTCCAAATTCCCATGGCTAGCTGGGATGCAGTTCTATCAAACCCACAATCTGCCACTATAACTTTCCCTGGAACTCAGTTGAGTCACTGCCTGCAAGAAAACACTACACAACCTTAGTTTAAAATTAGAACATGACACAATTGTTAGGTGCAGTAACTAGCATCTTAATTTGTAAGTTATTTTAAGTTTGGGTTAGGGTTAAGTTTAAGGTTAGGGTTAGGCCTGTCTGTTTGGCTGAGAACAGGCAGCCCTGTCTGCCAGTGTCTTGCTAGCAGAAGCATGGATGGTTTTGTTTTCAAAATATTTCATGATACAGGTGGCAAACCAATGCAGAACATTAGAATCCACTAGAAAGACTCTTAGCCTATGAGTTAAGAATTTGGTCTGGGCAATCAATGCAGGGTCCAGTCATGTGATGACTCAAACATGGGAACATTGAAACAAAGAAACAGGGCTCTGAGGATCCCTGCTGTGATTCAGAGAGCCAGAGAATGGAAGCTGCATATTTCTTGGGGTAGATATTGAATTGTGAATTTATAAAATTTGGATTATTTGCTTTTAGGATAGATTTATATACAGATTTTGTTTGGATCACGTTGGGAATTTTGCCTGTGGTTCAGAACTAGAATAGGGAAAATTACTGATTTTAAGTACAGAGCAGTGATAATTGACTGTTATAAACAGGTATTAATTAATAGAAGTCTGGGCTCCAAACAGAGAGCAGAACAGATAGATGGTATAACAGATATTAATAAAATAGATGTCTGTAGCTCCAGGAAGAGAGCATAACAGGATAAATGATATACTACAGTCTACAGGAAACTCACATTCTTTGAACGTGGGCTCCATGGAAATTAGGATTAAAATCCTGGGTTGACAAGCTTCCTGCTTCTTATATTAATAAATATTAATAAATTATTAATGTATTAATAAATGTGTAATTAAATTGTTTCTATAGCTAGAAGGAGAGAATACAGATTTTCAAAACAGCTAGAATTAAGAGGGTTTTGTTTGTTTTATTATTCCTCTGGAATACAGGCAGTATGCAACCTTCCCTGTTTGCTGAGTGAAGGATATGCTGATTTGGGAGAAAGGTTTTGTCTTTGAATTTTTAGAAAATATTATTAGTGTCTACATATCTTCCAGAGTTATATGGATTAGATTTGATAGAGGCAGACACCCCTGAGAATAAATTCAGGTGATTCAAATAAAAAAATAGAATTTGGGCTATTTCTCACATGACACGAATGAAGACTTATGATTGGAGCAGAATTTCATCCTAACTAGTCTGAACTCCCTACACAGACTAATACAATCTACATAGATATCATGATGATACTAAATTTTTGTTTTGAGATTTGTATATTACAAAATGTACAGCATTGGATAAACTTTCAGACATGCTGAACTGACCTGCTTGAACTCCTAATCTTATCGACTTTCTGTGGTATCCACTCATGACACAAATATCATCAGACACTATAACAATTGTGGTTGTAGCCTTTTTAAGGCCAACTAACTCCCTCATTTTTTCCACCCTTCCCCCTTCAAGCTATCTCAATACCTATAATTATCAGGAAGAAGTTATGAAGTATCACCATCCCAGTTCCCTGTCCTTGGGAGTTGGAGTTGTTATTCTAATGCTCTTTCTGGTGAATTTTGTAATGATCAGAATTTAATAGGAAATAGCTAGACTTGATCTTAGAGCCATAATCTCACTTGGTAGCAATCTTTAAATTGCAGGAACAGGGATTTCATTGGTATAAATTTTCTCTATTCTTAAGAAAATTTAAAAGTATGAGGCTTGGACCTAGTCATTCTATAAATGCAATTACAAAATGATCTGAGATTATTAAGCCTACGAGTTAATGGCCAGATAGCAAAGTCTTGGTTCTTTATTCATTGCTATGTTGTTTGTAAGATATTTTATTTGGAAATAGCTGAGAGTAGTCAACAGACAACAGTCCAGATTACTTTACACAGATAGATGGTTTTCAAAAACATCAGAAATCCACAGAATGTAACATTTAATATTATGTATTCACTTGATGTTGACACATAGCTGGTCTTAACAGCTCCCCACTTGTGAATTCAAAGAAACAGCTGAACATTTCTACCTCCAGGTGAGGTTGTACATTGCGGCTTGGTGGCCACTGGACAGAAATTGCTTATTTCATCTACAAACAAAATACTGACCAGTAAAAGGACCTACTATGCAGAATAATCTACCGATAATCTCTACCAAGAGAGGACAATCAGTCCTTCAAAATTCTATGTTACAAAGGTCTGTTTTTTGCTTCTTCAAGCAGCAGGTCCAGGCAAGAGGAGAGAGAGGTCCTGGTCCCACCAGGTCTCTTAAGAGCTGAACAAGATGGTTAGTGTCAGTGGCCCAAAGAAACACACCCAGCTGAGAGTCTTGTCAAAGCAGGAACTCAACTTTAATGTAACAATCTCTTGTTTATATAAACTTGGAACATAGAAAGGAGGAGTTTTGGTGAGGTGAAATGACTTAGGGAGTAGGGAAGGGTGACAGATTGAGGATATGTGGTGACTCACAGGGCCAACAGCAAAGCTTTACATCAGCAACAGCTGAGCAGAGTCAGGGCCAAACAGGTTCTGTTGAGTCATTCCTGTTCGGAAGTGACTAAAACAGGTCTCAAACTGGAGCCAGGCTTTGACTGTCCCACAAGGCCACAGAAACTCAAGCCAGGATCAGGTTTGTCCACAGGTCCAAATCAGGGCTGGAATGGGGCCAAACAGTCTGTCAGATGATCCTAGGACAGAGTGCTAAAGACTGATATTCCACTTCCTGACACACTGGGGCTGTTTATGTATACAGCTGTCTCTACAACTTGTCTCAGTTTTAGCAGGTATGTTAGATTTCCTATATTTTAAGATAATATTGGTCATTCTTAGATTTCTGACAGGATTAAAGACTACTTTTAGTCTCATAGCCAACTCAGAGTATTTAACATTGAGTAAATATATTTGAAAGGTTAGTTTTCAGACAGCATACAAGTTAAACCAAGACATAACAGATATAAAGCTATAAGCCTTTTTTAAGTTAACATGGGTGACAGAGTGCTTTATTTAATTGATAATTTGATAGACTGGGTGTTAGGTGTATCTTATACTTTATGAATTACAAAATGAAAATAGTTGTGCTCAATCTATATCTGAGAGAAAAGAGCATTTTAATTGGACAAAAAGGGAGAAATGTAGATTGCTGTCTTTGTGAGGTGAAGGCAGGCACAAGATAAGGCAAGATCCTATGCTTGGGCAGTGGAAAAGGAAGGAGGCTAAATATTTTAGATACAGGTACAGAAAGACAGCGAAACAGAAAAGGAGATGGAGAGGAGGAGACAAGGTAAAATCTATTGGAGAGGAAGTGGAATCAGAACCACACAATTCTAGGAGCCATACATATGGGGGATTTCTTAGACAGATAATTAAATAATATGTAGGGTGCATTTGACCAATCTAGGTATATAGCTTGTGTTTATATAGTTGTGTTTTGAGTTCATTGTATAGGCGTTTTGTGGGTTGAGAATTTACTACTATATATCTGACCGATAAACTACAAGCATCTAGAGACTTGATTTTGCCACAGTACATGGATTTGTGACAGCTAACCACTGTGGACAATGGCTGGGAATATGAGCAGAGAGTGCTGAGATGAGAACAGGCCAAGCTGGCCTGTCTGCCAGTGCCTTGCAGGCAGTAGTGTGGGACTTACATTTTTAAAAATATTTCTCATTACAGGGGACAGTTTAGTGAGTGAAGTTCTCTTGAGTTGAGTTTGTTCACAAGTTCCATTCAATTTGTGCAGTTTGTGCAGCAAAGTTCAGCAAAGGCAATTGAAGCCAGAGAATTAAAAGTAGACAGAAAATTAGAACAAATATTCAAAGTTAGTTTCAAGCTAACCAGAGCAAATCAGTGGGAAGTTGAGAAAAGCCCATTTGAATCAGTAAGCTTGGATAGGAGCTTGAGTCAAAACATATGAGTGGAAACAGCCAGGCCTGAGTTCAGATAGAACTTGAAAGGGTAAGATCATTCAGCAGTAAGCCTTTGATATAAAAATTACATTTGGTGAGTAAAAGTTATTTTTATACCTGGCTGGTTGCTTTTACAGTACTTGTTGTATTTTGGCAACATGACATAAACTTAGACATACTTAGGAAGTGTCCTCAGTTTAGAAAATGCCTCCATCAGCTCACTTCTAGAAAAGTTTGAGGCATTTTCTTAATTAGCGACTGATAGCCAAAATTACTCTGGTTGGTGTCACTCTTGGGTAGTTAGTCCTGGGTAGAATATGAAAGTGGGTTGAATAGTCTAGTAAGTGACATTTCTGCATAGTTTCTGCTTCAATTCCTGCACTCCACTCCTACCTTGATTCCCTGCCTTGACTTCTCTCAATTATGGGATTTGACTTGAAAGCTGTAAGCATAAATAAACCCTTTCCAACCCAAGTTGCTTTTGTCCATGGTCTTTATCGCAGAAATCACAATAGAACCCTAACTACGAAACCACTCTTTTTTCTGTACTGACTAGGAGAGTATATTTCTATCTCCTCCCTGACTGTTCACTTTAAAAGACTGTTTTCCTCAAGAGGAAATCATATTGAAGTGAAGATTGTAATAGAACAGGTTTAGAGAGTATCAGATTTCTTGATCTATCCTTATTGTATTTTGAGGTATTTTACATATTTTAATTTATTCAACACATGTGTGTGCTTGAGTGTAAGTATGTGCATTGCATGTGTGCTGATGGTCAGAGAGACCAAAAGTGAACACCAGATACCAAGATCTGGTAGTTGTGAAGCACCAAATGGCTGTGCTAAGAATTTTAAAAGGATCCTCTGTAAGAAGAGTAAGTTTCTTAACCACTTAGTCACTGGTCCGGCCCCAGTTTGAGGCACTTTTGTTGAGAGGCTTGCATGAACTATGCCATTTAGAAGAGGGCTACTAACAATGTTAAGGAATATTGTCTATTTTATATATATTTTACAACTGTTAAGTTAACCAAAATAATGAAAGGCAAAAATCTACTTTTCTTGGTATTGTAGGTTCATGGTCCAACTGGAATTATGAAAAAGAGTGTCTCAATAAATTAGAATGAAGAATGGAAGAGAAGTCAATCATTGATTTCTCCAACCGTCACCAGTGGAAACTAAAGGAGGTGAGAAAATAAAGTATGTTTTGTCATAGATGTAATCAATTCTATCTGAGGACAGGGAGAAGTAATGCCTTACTCTTCAAAGAGATGTTCCTTTGTGCATTACATTGCTAAGAAGGGTCATGCACTGGTTTGTTATGGATCTTCTTATTGTTATTGTGTCCCCTTTTTTGATGTTTCTTTCAGAGAACTTTGGTCTTATTCCTCCTGTAGCAATGTGACTATATTTCTTAATTTCAAAAATCTTGTTATTTGAGAAACATAGATGTTGACATTTACCATCAAAGTGTATTATATTTTGTACCTAGATGTTTCCCATCATCCAACACTATGGAGATGTGCTGGTGAAAAATATGAATCTTCAACTAGAGAAAGGCAAGCCCGTTACCATGAGAGAGTGAGTATTGATACATGTATTGGTTGGCAGCTCTGTCCCTTCTGGAGACTTCCCCTACATTTCAAGTACCTAAAATTATTCCAGACACAGAATAAGGAAGAAGTATGATGTTAACCTGCTGCGAGCCATGTTTTAAGAAACACCTTCCAGATTAACTTCAGAGAGTCTCCCTTTTATATCCATGAAACAAAATTAAATTAGCTGTTTCTGTCTCTTATTTTAGAAGTTAAATTATATAGTTTAGAAAGACAAAAATTTAGGTGAGCTACAGCTGTCAAGATTAAGAAATGCGAGAGGTGAGTACAGGAGATTCATCAGAGGTTGTTAGTTTGCCATGAGTTTTATTGTCTATAACTTTGAACAATTAAAACTTTAAGGTTTTCAGGGGATTTTAGGAAAATACCAACAAAAACAAATTTCTTCTACCTTTATTTAATCGAACTAAAGAGGAATAACTTTCTGGAAATGTTGTGGGTAGTAAAATCATGTTAAAATTTGAAGATACCACAGTAGTAAAATCAGGCTGCACTAATCATACTGCAGACAAATTGTCCTATAGCTCAGGAGCTGTGTTGGTCACATATTAAAGCCCCTGTCTTTCTACTCAGCATTTTTTGGTGCCTATAGCTTGGTTGTGATCATTAGCGCCTCATTTGGAGTGAAGGTGGATTCCCTCAACAATCCTCAAGATCCTTTTATGAAAAAAATCAGGAAACATTTTAAACTTAGCTTTTTCCATCCATTAATTTTCTCTGTGGGTATGTAGTTTTTTTTCAACTATAGTAAGTTTTGTAACTAGCATACACAGTACAACACACTTTATAACATATCCATACATAATTAATTCTCCCCCTTATTGGTTTCACCACTGTATGATCTGGTTCTATTATCCCCCTTTGTAGTTTCATATCACATGTGGTTATTCATTATTTCTACATACTTTGTTATTTGGATAATTTTGTTAGATGACCATGTAATTTCTGTCTTTGAACCCTCAATATCATGATTTATAATTATACATTTACATATTGAATCATTTTTCTATCTCTTGAATGAAATTTAAATTAATATCATTTACTTTTAATATTTGTCTGTTAATTTTGTCCTGGATAATGTATTTTAAGAGTAAGTGTAGAAGTCACTATTTTGTTGCAGAGTTTATTCTGTAATACTATATCTAGTTTTTGTTTTATGAAATTAAGTTCACATGTATATTGATACATATACATTTAGAGTTGTAATGTCATATGGATAATAGTTCCCTTAAAGTGAATAAAGTAGTCTATACACTTGTAATTAGTTTTGGTTTGATAACAGAATAGTAATGCATGTTCATTTCCTATGTTGATATTTGATGATTAGGTATATTTCTTGGATACAGCAAAACATATTATGATTGCTAATTCATTCTGCTATTCTGTGTATTATTTGTTTGTCTGTTTGTTTATTTGTAGACTAGCTCATTATCTTGGGTGGTATGTAGGCCAGATTGGAAGAAACTCATAGTGATCTGCCTGCCTGTCTATCCGGACTGCTGAGGTTAAAGGATGCATCACTACTTTCATCCTTAATCTGTGTCATTTGCTAAAGGAATCAAAACCAGTTATGTTCAGATTTCTTACTGAAAGGCATGCACTAGACATGCTTGTTTTACTGAATGGCACTTTCTAGTCTTGTTTCATTCCTCTTTTTTAACAACTGTCTTAGCAGTTTTAAAACTTTTTTCCTCTCTCACTCTTGGCTGCATTTACCTTTTCCTTCAGTCCAAATTTTCTTTCCATTATGTAATACAAGCAGGCTTCATTGTGAGTAATTCTTTAGGCAATTGATTAGGCTGATATATATATATATATATATATATATATATATATATATATATATATATAAAATCTTTTGATTGTAATCAATGGGATTTTGATATATTAATGTTATCAATAGCTCTTATATTTTAAAAATGTATTATAACTTTCAAAGATTCCCTAGCTTTATTCTTTTCAATGGAAAACACAGGAGTCATGGTGATAGACTTCTGTTTATATATGTGTTAGTCTGTCCTGTTGTACCTTCCAGTTCACTTCGTAATTTTGTGTATTCACCACTTTATCTTTAATGGGAAATGGGAAATTTCTTCTCTGGTCTTACCTGTGTGGTATTCTTTATCCATTTTTAAAATTTGAATGAACTTTTATTTTCTACAGTTTTAGAACTTCTGTTTTGTAATTTTATTGAAAATATGAGAGAGTTTTCTCTCCATTTGACATAGAATTTGTGTCATTGTTTTATGCTGGAAGTCATGGAATTATTTATCTCTCCAAAACTTACATGTTCCATTAAACTGATTAACAGATTCATTAATAATCATGACTGAATGGTTCTCCAAATCTGATTTGCCTTCATGGTTTCAAAATTTGTCTTCATGAGCACTTTATTTCTGAGACTCTGCAGAACTGATTGATGATTTTTTTGTTGTTGTTCATCATTTCACTTTGATTTTCTTCTCGAGATCTCTTTATCAAATTCCACTTTAATATTCTAATTCAATATCTTTATTTCTTTCAGGTTTAGTATTAATTTAAAAGATAGGCTTGTGTTCTTTGAATTCTTTAAACATATTTATAATTACTTCAATTACTTATTTTGTATTTTATTACATTTTGTATATTTGTGGTTAATGTAACATTGAAGGATATGGATAAAGTATGCTTTAGAACTGAGCAATGCCCATCTGTGGTTATATCAATGGTTACATTTTGTTAATTTTTTTTGTTAATTCATGTCATTTTTCTGCCTTCATTTGGAGTTTTTCTCACAGTTCAGGAAAGTCTAGGTTGTAGTACAATTGTGGTGATGTTTTCTTCTGCTAGGCCTGAGTTCAGTGCTCCAGGCTCTCATCCCAGTGATTCTCTGAGAGTTGATCAGTCTTTGTAAAATAAATTTTCTATCAATCAATAAATATTCTGTCAATAAAGTAGTGATTGATTTTAAAAAGGTCATTAGTCATTCTTTAAATTCCAATCATGTTAGGGAAAAAAGACTAAGTTCTTTTTATAATGATGTGTTAGCTACTGTAGGTAGAAAAGGAAATAGATTGAAAAGAAAAAAGAAATATGCCATGATGATTTTAGTGATTAAGAGATTGTTTCTAAGCATGGAGAAGCAAAAAAAAAAAAAACATTTAAGAAACATATGATCCAGTGAAAAACTGTGGGGAAGATTTGGGCATTTTGGTTTAAGATAAACTGAGAAAATGGGAATACTTTGTACACTTACACCATTCAAAACAGTTCCATCTCTTAAAAAAATTAGTCTCAGAGATCCTATACACCAGGACAGTCTATGTTACTAAGAAATAAGAAAGGATATACAAAAATTTTCAATTTTAAAAATTTCAAAAATACAAATTACATAAAATATGAAAATTGAGAAATTAGGTTGATTTTCTACATTGATCTTGGATATGATATAATGAGAAATAGCTGTAGAGGTAAATGACAATGCAGTGGAGCTCTTACATTATTAAATATCTTATTGCTCTAACTAGAACTTCAGGTACTATATTGAAGAGATATTCAGAGAGTGTACAGACTTGCCTTTTCCCTGATTTAGTAAAATTGTTTTAAATTTTTCTCCATTTAATTTGATGTTAGCTTTTTGCCTTAACTCTTTATTGTGTTAGGTACATGCTTTGAATCCCTGATCACTCCAAGACTTTTAACATAAAAGGGTATTAGATTTTGTCACAGGCTTTTTCACTGTCTAGTGAGATGATCATAGTTGTGTAGTAGTTTCTGTCCATTTGTTTATATGATAGATTACATTGACAGGTTTTGTGTACTGAACTACCTCTGAATCCCTGAGATGAAGTACACTTTTTCATGGTAGGTGATATATTCTTGAATTTGCTTTGTGAGTACTTCATTGAGTATATTTGCATCAACATTCATAGGAAAATTTAATCAGATATTCTCTTTATTTGTTTACTCTTGGTGTGGTATAGGTATTAGGATTACTGTGGCCACAAAGAATGAGTTTGGTAATATTCATTTTGATGAGTTTTTGGAATAATTTGAGGAGTTTTGGTGTTAGCTGTTCTTTGATAGTCTGGTTTAACTCTGCAATAAAATCATCCTTTTCTGGGCTTTTTCAATTGAGAAACTATTAATGACAGCTTCTTTTCCATAAGGATTATAATCTATTTAGTTTACCTGATTTTGATTTAACTTTGGTAAGTGGTATCTTTTTAGTAAATCATCCATTTTGATTCCAATTTTGTGGAATACAGGTTTTTAAGTAATACCTAATGATTTTTTTCAATTTCCTCAGTGACTGCTGTTATGTCTTCCTTTTCACTTCTGATTTTGTTAATTTGGACACTGTTTATTTGCCTTTTGGTAAGTTTTGCTAATGGCTTCTCTGTCTTGTTGATTTTCGTAGAAGACCAGATCTTGATTTCGTTGATTCTTTGTACTGTTCTGTTTGTTTCTAATTGATTGATGTAAGTCCCAAGTTTGACTACTTCCTGCCATTTGTTTCTTTATGTTTTAGGACTTTCATGTGTGCTGTTAAGTTGCTAGTATGAGATCTCACATATTTATTTATGAAGAAATGTAGTGCTATAACATTTCCTCTTAGCACTGCTTTCATTATTTGGGTATGTTGTGCCTTCATTTTCATTGAATTCTAGAAATGCTCTGATTTATTTCTTCTTTGACCCAGTGTTCATTGAGTATGTGTCTAGGCATCTTTTTTACTGAGTGTATGGTCAGTTTTGAAGATTTTTTTAAGGTGCTGTGAAGAAATGCTATTCTTTTGTGTTTGTGTGACATGTTATGTAGATATCTGTTAGCTCTCTTTGATTCATTTCATCTATTACTTTCATTGTATCTCTGTTACTGTATCACTTTAGCTTTTATTTTGATGACCTTCCATTGGTGAGAATGGGATGTTGAAATCTCCTACTATTAATGTGTCGGGCTCAATGTGTGATTTAGGCTTTAG